AATGGAAGTGTTCTATTATTTAACTGAAATCACTAATGACATTTTTATCTGAGTGATGTTTTAAATGTGAAAGCAAGGAAAACTAAATATCAGTTTCTTTTTCCTGCATAAACAGTATCTTATTTTTATTTAATTTTACTATTTTAATTTCTTAGTTGATGAGTAAAGAAATACTGAACTCTCCTACCAGTGATTGTCTTGGGGAATTGGAGCAGCAGGTGAGTAATTTTAGTATGTCGGAAAAATGTTGGAAACAGAGATACAATTCCTTTTCCAGTTACTATCATAGGTTTATATAGAGGATAATGTAAAAGAGGACTTTCTTCCATCAAGTTTATTTATTCTGCTCTATCATCCCACTTAAATATTATTAGATTCTTTCAGGAATGCTCTGGTGACACAATCTTGAGGGGATTGTGCTGACCACAATGCTACATCTCTCTGGTGGTTCAAGTTTCAGCTGAAGAAAAACTACTTTTTGTTTTCATAAAAAAATTTAGACATGCAAGCGCTTTCCCATTTTTTGTGATGAAGGGAAACGGTAAGGATGTGAAGGGAGAGTAGAAGTGCTCCTACTACGTTCTTGGTTAAATATTTCACAAGGATTTACATTTTTTTCCCCTTTGGGATATTTTTTATAAAAGTTAATGAAGTTATGTAAATACTACTCACACAAAGATACCAAATTAAAACCAATTTTTAATAGATTTTTTTAAAAAAAATCCATTTCCAGTATCATTGTATTTGTATCTGTGAGAAAAGTCTATTTTTCACTTGTATCAAAACTTAATTTACTAAGAATTGGTTTACTTTATGTTTTAGCTTAAAAAGGCATTAGAAGACCTTCAAGACGCTCTTGCAGAAAAAGAAGAACTGAGGCAGAGATGCCAAGAACTAGATATGCAGGTATGGAGAAGAAACTTGATTCGAAAATACATTCTTTTTTTTTAATTTCAGTAAAAATTTACAGAGAATTTGGATTTCCATTCATTCATTGTTGCACTTTTCTCTCCTCCCAACCCTCCCCCCTAGTACACTACCCTTCTTAATTAGCATGTTTTGGAGGCTAGGTTTCATTCCTTAGAGGTATCACTGGAGAGATTTTCTAACAGGCTTGGTTCTTTAAGCCTAAGTTTCATAATTATTTTCTGACAGTTGTGGCTCTGCTGAAGGAGCAGATGCAACATGGAGAAGGCTGAGTCTGACTTCTACCAGCTTCACAAAGGGAAGCTGTGGCCCTGTGTAATATCCACAGCACCTTACAAATAGCTACATGGCCAGACATGCCACCCCCCATGCTCCTGCACTTATTTCTACCAATAATTACGTCTGATATTCATTGCGACTTGATTCACGGACTTGACTCACAGTTGTAGGGTTAATTAGGAAAACCAGGTTGCAGAGTGGGAGAGGCAAATAATATCATAAAGCAAGTCTTGGTTGAGCCAAAATAACAAGGTACATTTCCTCTCTTAGTTAACGCTCCAGTTTCAGGTTAGTAGCACAAAAGCAAGAAGCCTCTGATTTCCTCAGTCATCCAGCAGACTTTATCTCAGAGTAGTTACAAGCCAATTTTTCATTCACTCATTGAGCAAGCAAAACCTTTAACTGTGCATCCATTTCCAAGGTTCCTCCGGTTACTTCTTGGCATGGTTACTTCACAGAAGTGCCATAGTTTCTTTGCAGTCTCTCCATCACCATTGTCATCCTTGTCACAATGTGGAAAGTGCTTTCTTGTACAGCTGATGATTTGCAGGACCAGGTAGCTGGAGACCATGCCCCACAACAGAGGCTAACACACAGTGGCTAGAAAAGCCAGTTTTAAGGGTTCTGACACCCCAGCCTCCAAAAAATTTTATGTATTCTAATTATAGAATTTTAACTACTAGATGAGGCCTTAGATTTTATTTTATGAAGTGAGAAATTAAATAACTGCTTCATAGAACACCAGCACTTTTCTGTCACTTTTTCATACTGTGATGACTTGTGTATTGCTGTGAGACTGAAAGCTTCAGATATTTCAAATGCCAACAGATTTGATGCATTAAATACTAATGAAAGAAGATTAGATTATTTGTGGGACAATAATACCAAGGACATGAAGAAAGCAGCAGGTCATTAAAAAGATGAGAAAGAATGAAAAGATTAAAATGGATGTCAGAACAGACTTTGAACTTAAGAATGTAGAAATGAAAGGTAAACACGATGAGAGCTGAAGAGAAGCTTGTTAAGAAAAAGGGTATTGCAATGAAAGGTACAGTGAAAGATCTGGAGATAGAAAACAAAAAGGGAAGAGCATATGTAGCATTTCCTTTTTTTTTTTTACATTTAGCATTTTTAAACTGAAAGAGCTAAAGAAAAAGATTGACACTGTGTTATAAAATTGAAGAATTCTGCAGGTAAGATACTGATGTTGTGTGAAGCGTATCAAAAGCAGATGGAAGTAATGTATAGAGCCACTCTACCAAAAATAGTGATCAACACCTAGCTGTTTTAGGAGGTTCTGTATGACTAAAAACCACTTGTTGAAAGGAGGTCCAAGGCATCAGCAAAATATAAGACTTAGAAATTGATTAAATGACAATTGAGGTATTTTCAGCAAGCAGATGTAGCCCTGAATGTGCTCATTTAATATGTGCTTAGCCAACTGAAGAAATGTTTATTTGTGCTCATTCAAAAGAAACCCTCAAAATGGTGACCCAACAGAATACAGAAATTATCATTTATTCACATGCAGTTAAAATCTTGCAAAAGATTATTTTCAAGCAGCTGGAGCAATAAAGGAATAGGGAGCTGCCAGAAATTCAAACTGGATTTAGAAGAAGCCATGCAATGAGGAATATCATTGCTGATCTCTGATGGATCTTGGCTGAAAATAGAGAGTACAAGAAAAAAATTTTACTTGTGCTTCATCAGAGGCCTTTGAATGTGTTGGTCATAATAAATTGTGGATGACATTAAAAGCAATTAAGATTTCTAGAACACTTAATTGTGTCATTGTGGAAACTGTACAAAGAAAAAGGAAAGTATCTTGAATGGAACAAGAAATTTTCACTTGTTCATTTTGCATCATAAAATAGTGCAATGAGAAAGAAAGATCAAAGAATAATTGATGTCTTTGAATTGTAACACTAGGGGAGACTATTGAATATACCACTTACTGCCCAAAGAACAGCCAAGTCTGCCTTGGAAAAAAGTACAGCGTAAGCGCACTTTAGAGGCAAGGATGGTGAGACTTTATCTAGTTTCCTTTGTGCATGTTTTTTTTTTTTTAATTGGTGTATGCTCTTAAGTGGAGCTAGTCCTGGGAAGGATATCCTGGTTGGAAAAATACAGGGGCAGTGAAAAAGAGGAAGAACCTCAATGCGAGAGATTGAGGTAGTACCTTCAACAGTGAGCTTAAGCCCAGCAGAGAGGTTGAGAGTGGCTGGCAGAGTTTGGGCAGGGTTTTGCTGGTTTTGATTCTGAGCTAACCTGACAGCATCTAAACAACACTTTATAGGATCTGTATGGATATTAAATGAGGTAATTTATGGAAGTGCTAAGAAATAACTGATAAGTTATTTCTTAATAACTTGTACTTAATAATTATGTATGCCTTCTGTGTGTATGGATCCTAATATACTATCCTATATTGCAAAAAAATAGTGAAGACAACTACTTGGTCAACTGACTGAAAAAAAATCCATATTTGTTCCCATTCAATAAAAAAAGAGACCTAAAAGTGTGGAAATTAGTTAACAATAACATTAATACTACATGTCAGTGTAATCTTGTTGAAGATTTTTGAAGATAACAGCTGGAACTTAAAGACAGTCAAACTGGGTTTGGAAGAGATTATGGAACATGCTGATGTTAGATGGATCTTGGCTGAAAGCAGAGAACATCAGACAGATGTTTAGTTGTAACCTTACTGACTATGAAAAAACATTTGACTCTAGAATGATAAATTATGGATAATGACTCTAGAGTAATAAATTACAGATAACAAGAAAAGTGGGAATTCCATAACATTTAATTGTGCTCCTGTGAAAACCTATACGTAGACTAAGAAGCACTTGGCCAAACAGAACAAGAATACACTTGTTAGGTGGCTTCAAGTCAACAACAACTAATAGCAGCCTTAGGAACAACAGATCTGAACACTAACCTATTTTGTACCTTTTCAAGCACGTTGTCATTTTTTCAAGAACTGGCCTTTCCTAACAGCATATCCAAATTACATGAGATGAAGTTTCTCCATCCTTGCCTCTAAGGATTCCCATATTTTTGCCATCTTGTATTCATTGTCCACTGAATAGCAGGTAATTAAAAAGACCACGGCTTGGATCAGGTGTACCTTAATCTTAAAATTAACATTGTTGATCTTCAGCACTTTGTACAGATCCCTGACAGCATATATTCCCTGTACAAATATTTTCATTTTCTGGCTGCTGATTGTGGATCCAAGTAAAATGAAATTGCAGGCAGTTTCTCTCTCTTTTCCACCTATCATGTTGCCTATTACCTAGTTGTAAGTATTTTTGTTTTCTTGATGTTGAAATATAATCCATGTTGAAGGATATAGTCTTTGCTTTTCTGCAGTAGGTGTTTCAAATCTTCCTCACTTTCAGCAAGCAAGGTTGTACCATCTGCACATAAATGCAGGTTGGTTGTTCAGTCTCCCTCCTATCCTGTTCTTTATAAAGTCCAGCTTTTCTGATAGGTATGAAGAAAGGATACAGCCCTGACGTACACCTTTCTGATTTTAAACCATGCAATGTTCTCTGGCTTTTTTGGACAACAGCTTCTTGGTCTAAGTGTAGTTTTGCATGAGTGCAAGAGTTCTGGGATTCCCATTCTCATTGTTAGTTATCAATATTTGTTATGATCCTTAGTCAGAATCTTTGCATAGTCAATAAAACACAGACAGACATTCTTCTCATATTCTCTGCTTTCAGGCAAGTTCCATCTGTCATCTGTAGTGATATCCCTTATGCCACAGTCTCTTCTAAACCCAGGCTAGCTATCTAGCTATCCGGCATTTGTATTGGGGTGTGTGTGTGTGTGTGTGTGTGTGTGTGTGTGTGTGTGTGTATACCATCCTTGCTATCTTTGAATAAACTTCAGCAAGATTGCTTGCATGTGATATTAATGATATTGTTTGGTAATTGCCACCTTTTGTTGGCTGTTCTGAGGACCAATCTAGCCAGTGAGTACAGACTAGCACCCACATGTTATCAGTGCACTGCTTGTTTTTATGATTTTTTTATGGGGTACAACAATTACCTCCTCTTTTGGGAGAAAGATTAGCATGTTGCTGCTTATTTTATTGTTTAGGTATGTATTTGCTTGCTTATTTGTAATATTCCCTTATAAACACAGTACTTGTCCCGTCAATTTGCTATATTGGAATAACTTGAAAATTGATGTAATTCTGTAATCTATGCCACCAGTATTTAAAATACCAACATAGTCACTCATGCTGAATAGGTTACAGTGGAACTTGCAGATAAACAAAGACTGAGAAATAGAACTGGCCATCTACTACTGTGATAACCAGCCTTCAAAAACCCTCTGGTGGTCTAGTGGCAAGAAGCTGAACTACAATCCCAAAGGCACCTGGTTTGAATTCACCAGACACTCCATGGGAGAAGGAGGGGAAATATCCTCTTGTGAACCTAACTTGATGGTACACAGCAAGAAAAACAAAAAAACCAAAAAATCCTGCTCTGAACAGTAGAGGAACACTGATGGCTGTAGAACTAGAAATACAGTTCTTAGGTTAGAACACATTCAGAATGAGGAGAAGCAGCTACAAAGATTAATAAACATAGAATGTATAATACATGCATCTAGGAAAATTGGAAATTGTAAAAAATTAAATGAAGCACATAAAGATTGACACTCTAGGCATTAATGAGCTAATATGGATGGATATGGATGGACATTGGCTTCTTTGAATTGAATAGTACCATGATCATTATGCCAGAAATGAAAAATTTAGTAAGAGTGGCATCGCATTCATAGTAAAAAGACCATTTCAAGGTTTGTCTTAAAATACAGTTCTGTGAAAGACGGGACACAATCCATGCACATTCAAGTTAGACTTGTTAATAAAATTATTATTCAAATTTATGCATCAACAACTAAAGCCAAAGAAGATTAAATTGAGGAATTCTAGCAGTTTTTGAACATGCAGTCAGATGTTTTAATAATAATTAGTGACAGAAATGTAAAAGATGGAAACAAGGATTGGTAGTTAGAAATGATGCAATTAGTGACAAAAATGAGGCTGGAGATTGAATGACTGAATTTTGTCTAATCAGTGATTTATTTATTGCAAAAGTCCTCAACACTTGAAGAGATCACTAAGTGAATTAAATCAGGAAGAGTGTACATCAGGGTTGTATTGTTTCTCCATACCTATTTAGTCCATCTGTATGCTGAGCAAATAATTTAAGAAGCTGGAGTATATAAAGAATGTGGCATTGAGGGAGTTCTGGTGGCCTAGTGGCAAGAAGTAGCACCTCAATCCCAGAGGTACGTGGTTCAAATCCACCAGATGCTGTGCTGGTGAAGGAGGGACAACCTACTCCTGTACTAGTCAGATCCAATTTGACGGTACACACACACAAAAAATATTAATTTTTTTTTAATGTGGCATCAGAATTGGAGAAAGACTCATCAACAACTTACATTATGCAGGTGGCACAACCTTCCTAAAAGAAGATGAAGAAAATTTTAATCCCCTACTGAAGAAAATAAAAACTACAGCCTATAATATAGATTAGATCTCAACATCAAGAAAACAAAAATACTCACCACTGGACTAATAAACATCATGATAAATGCAGCGAAGATTGAAGCTGTCAGCGACCTAAAGGTTCTACAGTCAGTCAACACCTATAAAGTCAAGAAATCTAGACATGTTGTTTGGGGGGGAGAACCTGCTATCAAGGACCTCTCCAAAGTGCTGAAGAGCCAGCCTGTTAGTTTCAATACAAAGATTTGCTTCACTTAAGTCATGGTATTTTTAATTGCTTCCAGTACATATGAAAGTTAGACAGTGAATAAAAATGACAGAAGAATGAATGCCGTGGACTTGTGGTGTTGGTGAGAACATTGAGTATCCCATGGACCAAAACAAATTTGTCAGGGTGCCTGTTAGAGGCAAAAATGTGAAACATCACCTCATAATTTGGGCATAATCCTTGAGAGAAGACATCACCCTGGAAATAGTAGATAGTCAGAAAGATAGAGGGTCAGTTAAAGAGAGGAAGAACTTCAGTGAGATGGACGGACATGGTGACTGTAGCAGTGGGCTAGAGCATGCTAAAGATTGTGAGGCTAGAACAAGGTAGGGCCAAGTTTGCTTCTGTTGGTTGGTGAGTTGCTATGATGGCATCTAACAACAACTTCTGATGTATACAAACTTACCAGTGTGCACATGGAAACAAACTTGGAACAAGAGACAGCAATTATTTGTCACAAGTGGACTCTCTAGGCCTTTTTTATTAGCGGGCTGTATGCTTTTTTCCTTTAATTTTCTCTTTTGAGAAACACAGTGATGATAGTGTATATATCTCCCAGAGTAGTTGTAAAGATTGAGTGAGTTAATGTATATAAATCCCTTCCAGCAGAGCCTAGCATGCAAGTGCTGTAAATGTGTTTGCATCTATTATTTCTGTATGTGAACATTATAATTGTGAAGGTTGTACAATAAGCTTTGAAGAAAGTATAAATAGTCTGAGTGTACCTACATGATATGGTGTATGTGATTATCTTAATAGACTAAATAGTTGTCTTTTAGGAAAATATGAGGACAAGTAATTAGGATTATGGTAGTATATTTCCTTGATGAGGTAAATATTTAGAATAGTAGGACTTGGTAGTTTAGCATTCGGAAGAGATCGTTGTTTCCTCGGATGATCTTTCTAGGGGCAGATCCAAGCCTTTGCCTACATTCCTCATTTTGAGGGCTGTGATTTCAACATGCTGTACTTCATTTAAGGCAATCACTGGATTTAAATTTCTGCCTTCACTCACTTTGCTAATGTGTATCCTTGTAATTAGAATTAATTCATTGCACTTGTTGCAAATATAAGTAGCAAACTTATTCATTAATATTTTGGAAGTAATCATAGTCAACTTTTTTATCAGACTAATTTATGCTAAAATCATATGTAAATGTCTGATCATAAAAAGTCTTGGTAACAGCTTTTGCTATAAAATACTAAGGCTGTTTTGAGAAAAGAAATAAAGCCAAGCAAATTATCCTTTTATTACAAGTGTGAGTAAAATAAATCTGTCAGTTTCTAAAATTATACATTTCTGCTGATTTTAAATCAGAAACTGTATGTACAGTTTGATACAGTATAGCACTTTATTGCTGATTAATTAACCAAATGTGATTGTTCTTTGAACATGTGATATATGATTGATAAGTTTCTATTGTGAACCTGAAATGAAAACTTTGTGTATATGTGTGTGAACTTTGACTTGTTAGATAACCGCATCCTGAAAATTAGAAAATTACTATATATCAAAGGTGAACAATTGAAATTTCTTAAGTTCATTGGTGTATCAAATTTAGGAAGCTCAGAATTACTTTCATCCTAACCCAAATACTAGCCTGCCATTCTGAAGTTGTTCTTGTTGAGCACCAGAGTTGGAACCAACCCAGAGCTGACCCTCTGGTGGGTTTTCAGAGGCAGTTAATCGCATGGGAGGAGATTGTCCATTCTTCTCCCACAGAACAGCTGGTGGATTCAAACCACACTCCTTTGGTATTGCAGCATAGCTTCTTGCCACTAGCCTACCAGAGCCCCCTGAAGATGTTCTAACTCAGTTGTTTGGTTTTTTTAAAAATAATGCGAATTAATTTTTATTTTCTTTCATTTGATTCAAACTTCGTTGACTCAGAAATTCGAGTTGAAAATATCCTCAGAATCTGATTTATTGGCTAAGCTATTTGATGATTTAGTCAGAATTGAACTTCTAAGAGATATTTTGCAATTGGTGCTTATTCTTAATGTATTTCTTCTTTAGGTCACTGCACTTCAAGATGAGAAGAATTCACTAGTTTCTGAAAATGAGATGATGAATGAAAAACTTGACCAATTGGATGGATCATTTGATGATCCAAATACGATGGTTGCAAAGAAGTATTTTCATGCACAGTTACAACTAGAACAATTACAGGAAGAAAACTTCAGGTACTAATTTCAGAAGAAGGCATTGTAAACATTTCTCTCTATTAAGTAGATGTTGTACCATTGAGTCAGAGCTGACTCATAGCTGACCCCTGGCAGATTTTTAGAGCCAGTTAATCACACGGGAGGAGATTGCGTCTCCTTCTCCCACAGAGCAGCTGGTGGATTTGAACTGCCTGCCTTCAAGATTGCAGTACAACTTCTTGTCACTGTCATCATAATATCAATAACTAATTATTAAACATGTGCCTCATCTGCCATATATACCAAATGGCATGCAAAGTGATTCCTGCCCTTACTAAGTTAATAATCCAATTAGGCATATGGTAGACATACGTAAAAACTTCATAATAGCATAGCATAAAGATTATAAACAAGCACAACAGGAATTCACAAAAGAGAACAATTGATGAAGTCTGGCAGGATCAGGAGTTTTTCATATGAAAGGGAACCCAGAAAATAAATTTTTAAAAATGTACATCTTAAGCGAAAGATGCTTTTCACTTTTACTTTCACTCTTCCCATGAATAAGTATTTTCTCTTGTGTGCTTTAACACGTTTTTGAATCATATTTGAAGACAAGCACTACAGTTGTACTTTAATGAATACTTCTTGTTACTTTTCTGTTGATATAGGATCCCTGGTGACAGAATGGTTAAGGGCCCAGCTATTAACCAAAATCAGTAGTTTAACTCAGTAGCTTGCTCCATAGGAGAAAGTGTGGCAGTCTACCTTATAAGTATCTAGAGTCTTGGAAACCCTATAGGATAATTTTACTTAAGCATAATCAACTCAATGACTTTTTAGTTTTTCTGATAATTTAAAATTTTAAAACAAGTTTGCAAAACTTGTTTTCTATACTTTTAATGTGTATTTGACAATTTATATATATTCGTACAGATAGGTTTATCCTTTTTTGAACAATTTGAAGGTAAGTTGGAGAAATACATTACCTAAGTGAGCCTTCTCCACTTCATTGTCCTATTAGGGTTTTTGTTGTGTTATTATTATTGATTGCCTTCAAGTCGAGCACGACTCATAGCGACCAAACACCAGAAGCCCCTCTACAACTATCAGAGTTCATAGTTTCCAGAGGCATGTTGTTTAAGAAGTGGAAGCCACTCCTGCTGAGGGCCTCTTATTTCAGAAGTAGATCATTAGTCCTTTATCTTAGTCTAGAATCTCTACTATTACCTGTCCACCATGGGTGACTGCTGGTATTTGACATTCTGGTAACATAGATTCCAGTATCACTGCAACATGCAAGCCAATAAGTATGCCAAATAGATAAGTGGTGGCTGTGCAAATATTCATCTGTGTGGATCATAATAAATTATGTATAACATTGAGAATAGGAATTCCATAAAATTTAATTATTCTCATGCAAAACCTGTGCAAAGCAGTCATTCAAATAGAACAAGAGGTATGGCTTAAAATTAGGAAAAGTGTGTCAGGGATGTAGCCTTCCTCTGTACTTAGTCTGAATGTTGAGCATATACTCCAAGATGGTAGACTATAAGCAGAATATGGCTTAAGAACTGGAAGAAAACTCAACAGTATCTGCACATGACACAACTTTGCTTGCATAAAAGTGAAAAAGACCTGAAACAGGTGGTACAGAATACCAAAGACTTTAATGTGTATTGCATCTCAGCATCAAGAAAATTAAAATTCTCACCATTGAACCAATGGCTAACATCACAATAGATACATTGGGAAGTACAAATATGTGCCACATTGCATGTGTTCACACAGTATCTCATGACAAGTATGTCTTTGGTCCTGTAAGATTCTTACAAGTAGCAACAAAATAATTTATTGGAAATATTGCCATTCAGAGCTGGGGGACTATGTTGGAAGCTGGATAAATACCCTCTGGAGTCTTAAAGGAGGTCATTGCCTCTCGCCTGTCCCACCCAGGCCCCTCACCTACTCCTGGCCAATGAACTCACTGCAAGTACTAAAGATGAAGGGGTTCCCCCCCCCATTTAGTTACGTAGGTAGTGGGGAATAGAGGCAGCTGTGGAGATCTTGTTGCACTGTGGGATTCATTGGACTTGTCTGTGTTTTATAAGAAGTTTAGTACCAAAACTAAGTGAACCTACAGGGGTTTAGGGTTTTTTTGTTGAAAGGCTTACAGTAACAACTTTAATTTTTTTAAGTAGTTTTAAGATGTTGTTGTTGTTAAGTGCCATTGAGTCACAGGTGACTCATAGCAACCCTATGAAGGAGAGTCCTCAATGCTTGGGTGTCTTTCATCCTCTCTCCAGGTTCATAGGGTTTCCGGAGGCAAGCTATTATGCAAGTGGATGCCACTCCTTCTTCCAAGCTTGCTTTAATCGGGGAGCTCCACCCCACTCTGTCCACATTGGGTAACCAACCATTAACGCATTTGACACATCAGTGTCACAGTGTTCAGCCTCACAGCAACCACAAGTGACCGTTCTACGGCAACTTGTACACCAGGTCTATCCGACTGACCTAGAGGAATGTGTGAACAAAAACAATGAAAGACAGGTCCGAGGGCCGCAGATTAAAAGTCATCCACCTTTGGCTTGGTAGCATTGCTAATTCATCTTATGTCAATTTGGTAGTTATTTTAAGGTGTTTTAAGGCTCATTTCACCCAAGTTGTTAATTTATTTGCCTAAGGTTATTCAGAATAGTCTTTTATTTATTGTCCTTTAACTCCTTTCATAACTGACAAACTGCTCCAATGGGTTTTCTCGCCTGTAATCTTTATGGAAACAGATTGCTACGTCTTTCTCCCGGGGAGCAGTTGTGTTCTCCCTCTCCTCTCAGCAGCATAGCACGTAACTCTTAGTTTCATCAGTTATTGAGAAATTAATTATAACATTTTTCAGTGATTTGAATTTGTGTATTTTGGTCCTTTATTTCCAACAATAGTTGAATGGTTGTGTCATACATACACACACTCTACGATAAGTCTTTTTGAAGACTTGATACTCATATATTATATAAATTTGATCTTTTTATATAGCTAGGTAATATTTGCATTTTAACTGTATTGTTTAGTCAGCTTATTTATGTGATTTTTGTTGTATTTGGGTTTATCATTTTGCTGTTTTTCATCTATCCCTGTGTTCTCTTGTTCGATTATTACTTTTTTACATTAATCAAATGCATTTTTATTATTGCTACAGTGTTTAAGTAATTATTTTTAATTTACCTTAATTTGACTTAATATTTCCTATATGCATACTATTTATATATATATATATATATATATATACCTGAGAATCTCATTATGTGTATCTTAAGTATTTTTATCTTTATAGTTTAAAACTTAAATTTCTCTTAAAAGCAGAGAAAACTAAGCACAACACTTCAGAAAATAAAAATGAAAATTACAAACATTAAATGTTTCAAAAACAAGACACTCAAAGTTTCTTTAACCTTTTCTCTTTAGAATGTAGATTGTTAAGTAATATCTTAAAACTATATTTTGCTAGTTAGCTCACATTTCAATTGGAAGAGAAATTATGTAAATTACATTAAAAATACTTGCTTTTATTCTGTAAGGCTTGAAGCTGCAAAAGATGATTATCGTGCTCACTGTGAAGAGCTTGAAAAGCAACTCATTGAATTTCAGCATAGGAACGATGAATTGACTAGCCTCGCTGAAGAAACACGAGCCCTAAAAGATGAAATTGATGTTCTTAGGTATGGCATGTCATTTCTGAGTTATTAGTAAATTGGATTATCTCGTATTTTAATTAGAGGATTTACAATTAAGGTTTTCACTAACATATCAACAGTTGGTCAATTTTGATCCAAGCTTCTTGATTTTGATTCTTTATGATTGCTCATAGTTACTGAAGTTACAGGTAAGATTCTGTTATTGTTTGGATATTTTCTTATTATAGTGCATAAACCTAAAATAATACCTTCCCCCCTTAGAATTTTGTATATGTGTTACTTTTAGCAATATTTACCTTGACGTGCTGTAGTCATAAGGGTATTTTGTGAAAGTATTGTATACAGGAATGCCTTCTCACAGTTCTTACTTTAGCATTTGATAAACTTTAAGTGAAAATCCTAATGTTCAAGGATAATTGTCTGTGACCACTCAGTGAAATGTTACTCAGCATTTTAGAACAGATGATCTTTATGAGTTTCTCATCATGCCAGCTTGCATTTACTAACAATATTTTTGCAGTTTTGATGCCTTTTGATGAAGAAAATTTTTATAACCATAATTTTCATCTTCATGTGATCTGAAGGGATTTGTTTGTTTGCGTTTTTATTGTTTTATTTTACCCTCAATGATAATACTTTATTAATTAAACCATAATTTTTTTAAAAAAAATCTTATTTATATAGTATTTTTTTCTCTTCCCTTGCTCGTACACTGAGCAAATCACTTTCCCCAGGCTGCCTGGGAAAGGAATGTATAGGATAGATGATACGCAGGGGTCAGAAAACCAGCAAACTATGGGAAATGGTGATGGCTCCTTCACCTTCCACCATCAGGCAAAAGAGCCCCATGGCCTCTGAGAGGGCAAAGCCCAGAACGGTGTAGGAGAAGAAATACTGCTTCAGTGAAGGATTCCTGGCATAACCAGTGATCAGGCTCCTAAACACAGTCCCAATCCCAGCTCTAGAGCCAGCCACCCTTAACTGTCCCAGCCCCACTGCCAGTAAACTTGGCTACTTTGTCAGTATCCCTTGAGGTGGTGTTGGTTTGGAAAGAATGTGGGGCTGTCAAGCAGCTAAAGTTCTAATTTGTCAGTGTCTCTGGTTGTTTCAGCACCGCTGCAGAAGTGGAGTGTTTAGCACCTGAGAGGCACTCCTGATCAGGGAAGGGCTGGAGAAAAAGTTGGTGCAGGCATACATTTTCAGGGGATAAGGAGCTGTGGCAGGAAAGCTGCTCTGAGTGCAGAGTAGACAGAGAAGGGGAGTAACCATAATTTTTAAGGGAGCTATAATTCTTCTGTGCAGTCAAATTTATAAATTGTGTTAACTTCTCAAGTATAACAACTACTGAGAATAAACATAATCATAGTAAAATTATATAGACAAAGCAAGGTTGCTGTATGAGGTTCAGAGACAAAAACCATTTTTATGTGTTATACTAACACAATTGATAGAGTCATGCCAAATTTAGAGTATTTTTATTTCTTTTTGTGATTTTTGAGAGAAAGAACTAATCTGCTTAGATATGTTTTTGTGATATGCTTGGAGAATTCTTGTGGATTTTATCTGTCTCCCCTAAAAATATGGGTTGTTAATTCCTAAACTGTTATGCTAATGGTTATAATGCCATATGAGAATGAGTTGACTTTGTTATTGTAATGAGACAGTCAGTCTCATCTGAGATATCAAAGAGATTTAAAAGCAAGCTAGAAAACAGAGAGAGAGGAAATGTAAAATCAAGAATGAAAATTGGCTAAGAGCAGTAACTTGGAGGGGCAAGAGTCCTTTCTCAGAAAGACTTCCTTTAGAACCATTGCACTCTGAGAAAATGAAAATTTCTATTCATTAAAGTCTACTTGTGGTTTTTCTGTTAGAACAGTACCATAACAGTAAAGACATAATTTGAGACCAGGATTGGGATGCTAGTCTAACAGATACCTAAAATCAGGATGTGGTTTTAGAATTGGGTAGTGGGCAAAGGCTGGTAGTTTTAAGGTACCTACTAAGATGTGTCTGATCCAAGCCATGGTCTTTTTGATTACTTTCTGTGCATCTGAAAGTTTGACATTGATGTCAGTAGAATAATCAATGAAGAATCAATGCCTTTGAATTGTGGTGTTGGAAAAAGAATACTAAATAACAAACAAATATATTTTGGAGAAGATGCAGCCAAGGTGCCCCATAGAAAGAAGGATAATGGAAACTCGATCTCATGTAAGGGCATGTTAGGAGAGGCCAGTCCTTAGAAAAGGTTATCGTGTTTGGAAAGGTGGAAGGTCAGTGAAAGAAGAAGACGCTCAACGGGATGGATTGACACAGTGGCTAGAACAATCGGCTCGAGCGTGTTGGGCATAGTGAGGATGGTGCAAGGGAGGGGAGGGTTTAGATCTGTTGTGATTCATGAATTCACAGATTTCTGTGAGTCATGATTCACTCAGAGGTACCTAACAGTAACACCATCAAGATTGGAGAGAGACTTATCAGTAACCTGCGTTATGGAGATGACACAACCTTTCTGGCTGAAAGTGAGGAGGGCCTGAAGCACTTGCTGCAAAAGATCAAGGAATGCAGCCTTTGGTTTGGATTGCATTTCAATGTCAAAAAACAAAAATTCTTACCACTGGACTGACAGGCAACATCATGATGGATGGAGAGGAGACTGTAACTGTCAAAAGCTTCATCTTGCTTGGATTCACAACTAACAGCCTTGGTACCAGCAGATAGGAAAGACATTGTACTGGGAAAATCTGCAGATACTATTATTGCATTTCAATAGCAAGAAGACAAAGATTCTCACCACTGGGCCAACTAGCAGCATGATAGAAGGAGAAGAAATTGAGGTTAACAGTGACAGTTTGCTTGGCTCCACAATCAACTCTTGGCACCAGCAGTTAGGAAATCAAAAGACTAATTGTATTGGGTAAATCTGCTATCAGGAACCTTTCCAGAGTACTGAGAAGCACTGATGTCAGTCTAGAGACTGAGATACTCCTTTTTCAGGTCATGGTCTTCACAGTTACATGTTACACATCAGAGAGCTAAGGATGACAGAAGAATTGATGCCTTCGAGTGGTGGTGCTGGAGAAGAGTCTTGAACTGCCAAGGGGGGAAAAAATATTGTTGGGTTTTGGAGAGGGTGAAACCAAGTTTCTCCTTGGAGGCTAGGATTTTGAAGTTCCATCTTCTAATACTTTGGGCCAATGGCCAGGAGGGACCAGTCCTTGGAGAAGGACATCATTCTCGAAAGGTTGGAGGGAGAGTGGAGAGGAAGACCCCAGGTGAGATGTATTGACACAGTACTTGGGACAATGAGAGTAAGTGTGTTGGAGTCAGAGAGACTGGCACAGGACAAGGCAGACTTCAGAGCTGTTGTATATGAGGTTGCAATGAGTTTCATTGATTGACTGTTTTTAGGCATGAATGAGTTTATCAATTTCTCACCAAGTTTAGAGTATCTGGCTTTCTTTTTATTTCTCTTTGTACTGTAGTCAATTGATAGATTATTTGGGAAATTTGTTTTACAGCAGAATAAATTCTTAGGTCTAATTGTTTAGTGATAATCATTTTTATTATTATAGGGCAACCTCTGATAAAGCAAATAAACTGGAATCAACAGTTGAGATCTATCGTCAGAAACTACAAGATCTAAATGACCTTCGCAAGCAGGTGAAGAGTTTACAAGAAACAAACATGATGTATATGCATAATACAGTCAGTCTAGAGGAAGAGTTAAAGAAGGCAAATGCAGCTCGTACACAATTAGAAACCTACAAAAGACAGGTAAGAAAAATTTTGATCAATAAAATAACTATCAACTTAGTTATTCTGTTTTATTTAGTCTAATAAAATGTTACTGTAGATATATTTTATTCACAGTCTACTGTGAATGCAGAATTGTTAGAGACTCTGTGTAATTTTAATTCAAAGATTGAAAATTGAGTTTTAATTTTGCCAATATTTTAGCTTTTTATTGCCTTTTGCCTTGGTATTGTTTAGTAGTATTTCTGGGAACAAGGTATATATGCATAAAAATTAGAGATATAACCAAAAATATTATTTTGCTATTTGTAATACAACCTAGAGAAACATTAGAGTAAGAGGCTGATATTTTTGGCTAAATTATCATTGAGTAGTTAAACAATTTGTTATTCTTATTGTATGCTAGTTTCCAAAAATATTTAAACTGTAATCTTAGTGTAAATATCTTATTTTCAGGTCAAGTTTCTCATTTACTCAACTCAGGGTAAACTGATCAATATTATGGTTAGTTTCCGACTTCAGGATGTTACAAAGAAATGCACTTTGTGACCATTTTCTATTTGTATTTTCTCATTAGTAGTATGTACTATATAAAACCTTTGTAAGCTTATACATAATGTTTTTAATTTGTTGTTGTACTGCTATTAAAAGGCAATACTAATTAAAAAGGAAAAACAAGAATTCAGCTTAAACTTACTTAGAAAGCTGTTTTAACAGAACCTCATTGTTTGTTGAGATGCCTGCATATACTCTTCTTTTGTTGATGTTTACTTCTGTTTTGACAAAGGTTCAAGATCTTCATAATAAACTTTCTTCAGAATCCAAAAGGGCAGACACACTAGCATTTGAAATGAAACGACTTGAGGAAAAGCATGAAGCTTTAATTAAAGAAAAGGAGGTAAATATAATTGTTAAGGACTGTCTCCCGCCTTTTAATTTTATACTGCCTTTACTGCTCTTTGAATGGTAGTGGAATCTATCAGTCCTTCTGGTGTCTTCCCCAAAATTGATTTGTTGGTGTAAAATAGTTTTGCAATGGTGGCTAGCATTTCTTTATAAAGTTTTTTACAAGTTTCCTTTACAAAGAAAGAATTCTCAGCTCCTTTGTCATGTGTCTTGGTGCCTGGTTTTCTAACTTGTTTTTTTAGGTGCCATCGAATTGACTACGACTCATAGTGACCTTATGAATAATGGATCTCACCATGCCCTAACCTGTGCCATTCTCATCATCCCTGATACACTTGAACCCATTGTTGCATTTACTGGGTCGCTTCATCTTGTCTTTTCCTTTGCTTACCCTCTACTTTTCTGACTGGCCCCTCCTAACAACACACTCAAAGTATAGAAGTCAAAACTTTACCATCATTGTCTCCTAGAAGCACTCTGATTGTACTTTCCCCAAGAAAGTTTTGTTCATTCTTTTTAGCAGCATAAGATATTCAGTGTTGTTTTCCATAAAACGCAGAGGCATCATTTATTCTTCTGCCATCCTTATCCAGTGTCTAACTAACTTTCACATGCATAGCGGTAATTGAAAAAGACCATGCCCTGGATCAGGTGAACTTTATTCTTTAACATCACTGTTGCTTCGCACCGTGGAGAGGTGCATGGTGGCAGACTTTTTCCTCAGTGCAACTCATCTATTAAGTTCTGCTGGTACCACATGTGTTGATTTTGGATCCAAGCAAATCAAACTGTTGACAGCTTCAATCTTTTCTTCATCTTTCATGATGTTGTCTTTTAGCCCAGTGGTGAGAATTTTTGTTTTCTTGATGTTGAGTTATAATTTATACCGAAGGCTGTAATCTCTAATCTTCCACAGCATTTCAAGTCTTCTCTTTCAACAAGCAAGATTGTGTCATCTGCATAACGCAGGTTTTGATGAGTCTTGTTCCATTCTCAATGCCACATTGCTGTTCATACAGTCTTCATGAAGACTTCTAAGTTATTTGCTCAGCATACACAATAGGTATGGGAAAAGGATACAGCCTTGACACACACCTTTCTGGACTTTAAACCATACATTATTCCCTTCTTTGTTGGCACAACAGCTTCTTAGTCTGGGTATAGAATTCATATGAACATAATTAAGTGTTCTGGGATTTCCATTCTTTTCTATGTTAGCCACAATTTGTTGTGATCCCCACAGTCAAATGCTTTATCATAGTTTATAAAATATAAATAGACATCCTTCTGGTATTCTCCCTTTACCCAAGATCCATCTGACATCAGCAATGATATCCCTAGTGGCATAGCCTCTTCTAACTCCAGCTTGAATTTCTGTCCGTTCTCTGTCAGTGTACTATTTTAATAATTTTTTAATTATCTTCAACAGGATATTACTTGTGATATTAGTGATAATGTTTAATAATTTCCACATTCTGTTGAATCACTTTCTTTGAGAGTGAGAGAAAATATGGAATTCCTCCATTCAGTAGGCCAGATAGCTATCTTCCAAATTTCTTGAACACATCAGGACTGTGTCTGTTTGTTGAAATATCCCAGCTGGTATCTCGTCATTTTCTGTGACCTTATTTTTTTACCAATGTCTTCATTGCAGCTTGAACTTCTTCCCTTAGTACCATTGGTCCTCAGGCACATCTTCAGAAATATACTAGATCAGTCAATTCTTATGGTCAGGAAAGACACTAAAAATTGCAGTAGAACATCAAAAAGCCAAAACAAGGGGAAGAAATGTCAAAATATAGGAGGTGATTTCAGAGGGAAGCTCAAAAATACAAAAGAAGTAGCATAACAAAATGTGCAAACTGCTAGAATTAAAAAATTAAAAGAGAAGAATTTCTCAGCATTTCTCAAGCTGAATAAATGAGAACCAGATTCGAGCCTCAGTTGGCCGTACACTAAACATACTTTGGGCAAAATCTTGAATGAGCCAGGTAGCATCAAAAGGAAAGGTTTCCATTTTAATTGTTGTTATGTGCCATCAAGTCGCTTGCAACTCATAGCGACTCTATGTACAACAGCCCTAAACTCTACTCTGTCCTGTGCCAGATGCACTGTCTCTGACACTCCCATCCCGATTACCCCAGTCACTGAATCAATCCACCTCATAGAGGGCCTTCCTCTCCTGTGCTGTCCCTCCACTCCATTTTAATTAAGTAACTATTATTAATTTGTTCAGATACATTAGTGTAAGCATAGACTGATTTGTATATGGGCAGAATGAAATATTCTTCTGACCTCAATAATTCTTTTTTTAGAGACTAATAGAGCAGCGTGATACCCTAAAAGAAACAAATGAAGAACTTCGATGCTCACAAGTACAGCAGGATCACCTAAACCAAGCAGGTGGATTTTGTTGGATGTAGATAAGTTTTTTTCTTCTTCTTAGTTGTAGACATACTATAATAGTTTATAATCTGGTTTTTGTTGTATAGGTACATCTGCCACAAAAAGTTACGAGAATCTTGCTGCTGAAATTATGCCAGTGGAATACAGGTACATTTGTTTTTATTCATTGATAGCCCACATTTAAAAATACTATAAATGTAATTTCTTTAGTAAATCTCTAGCCTTTAAAACTTTTTATTTTTAACAGTTTTATAAACTACTTTATCTTAACACATATTTTCTAAGGCAGATTATTGTTACTACCAGAAGAATCTTTAATCAGAGTGAAAGAATTTGAATACTATTATCTGGTTTTCATGGAATAACCTTTTTCTTGGGTTGAAATTATTGTTTCCTTTTCTTTAACTGTATAGAAAATTATTTCAAGACATGACTTTCAAATGTAAAAAAAATCCATTTAAAAAGATCCACATGGGTAGAAATTAGGAACTATATATAGGTAATTGCTATAGATAATACAATTATAGGATTCTTGTCACTAACCTGTTGGCCTAGTGGTTAAGGAGTTGCTCTGATAATCCAGAGACATAAGGTTCAGATCCATTAGTGACTCTTCGGAAAAAGATGAGCATTTTCCTCCCACACAGTTTACAACCTTTGAAAACCTGCTGGTGGGTCAGCTATGAGTTCTTTTCAACTTGAGCATTTAACAGCATAAATCACAACAGTGTGAAATGGATTATATAAAGATCGAAATCTTAGGGATGAGTTGAGACACTTGATGGCACATAACTACATGCATACCTGATGAAATACAGGTATAATACTAACATCATCTGTGGAAAGAGTTGATGAGAAACTCCGTATCAACAGTCAAACAAAATCAGGAACCTAATGTAGAACAGATCATCAGTTACTCATGCAAGTTCAAAATTGAAAAGTGAAAAAACTCAAACAAGTCCACAAGAACCAAATTATGGCCTATTGCAACTGAATTTATAAACTGCTTCAAGAACAGAGTTGGCTGTATTAACCCTAATAACCAAAGACCAAGCAAATTGTGGAATGACAGAAAGTACATCATCCAGGAAGAATGCAAAAAGATCATTACTAAGGGAACAGATAAAAAGGACCAAAATGGATGACAGAAGACGCTCAAACTGGCAGTGGAACAAAAACAAGTCAGAACAAAGGGAGGAAGTACTGGAATAAGATTTCAAAGGATAGCTTGAGAAGACAAAGCAAACTATTTTAATAAAATGTACAGGTGGTATTTTCCGGTCTGTCCCTCTGCCTGTCTCTCTCTCTGCAGACCAAATAATCCCACCTGGGAGACCCTTAATATGGCTGCTTAAGCTTCCTTTATAAAAAAAGAAAAAGAAACAAAAACCAAAATATACAAAGAACCTGGTGTTAGAAAACTAGCAGGAAAGAGTACATTTAACAATCTAATGAAGCCGCCAGTTGCAATACTGTTAGAGTCTATGGGCCAAATAGTGAATGATACAGAAAACATTAAAAGAACATGGGAGGAATACACAGTGTCACTATACCAAAAAGAATTGATGGATTCTGAGCACTTTAGGAAGAGCACATGATCAAGAACCAATGATAGTGAAGAAAGAAGTTCAAGTTTCACTGAAAGCATTGGTGGGAAGAAGTACATCTGTTAGAATTGCAGTCCTAGACATGTTCATTAACCTGTGCCAAAAATTTGGAAGACTACCTGGCTAACTGACTGAAATATTCTCTCTTTTTTTTTAAAAAAAGCAGTCCAGCACATTTTTAAGCAATATCATCAATATCACATGCATGTAAAATTTTACTGAAAATAATTCAAAATAGGCTTGAAAGGAATAGACTCTGCCAGGAATTCAAGCTAGACTGTGACATAAGGCATACCTATGCTGATGTTAGATGAATCTGGGCTGAAAGCAGAGAAAACCAGAAAGACACTCTATGCATTTTACTGACTATTTGAAGACATTAGACTGTGTGGATCATAACAATTACGGCTAACATTGAGAAGAGAATTGGGATTCCAAAACATTTAATTATGCTCATGCGAAACATATAAATAAACCAAAAAGCTGATGTCTGCACACAGTAAGGGAACACCAACCACATGGTTTAAAATCAAAGTGTGTCAGGATTGTAGCCTTTCTCCCTTCCTATTTGATCTGTGTGATAAGAAAATCATTTGACAAGCTGAACTTTATGAAGAACAGTGTGGAATCAGGATTGGAGGAAGATTCATCAACTGTCTATGTTATGCAAATGACACGACCTTCTCTTTCAGTAAGTGAAGAGGACTGGAAACATTTGCTACAGAAGATCAAAACTACAGCCTTCAGTATGGCTTAGATATCAACGTCCTGTGTTAGGTAGATAATAGAGCCTTGCTTTCAGGGTGTGAAAAAGATTTGAAATGCATATTTGAAGAAGATTGAAGTCTACTGCCTTCTGTATGGAATTCCATTTCCACATCAACAAAACAAAAATTGTCACCACTACAATAGGCAACATCGTGATAGTTGGAAAAAAAGATTGCTGTTGTCAATGATTTAATTTTACTTGGATCCACAATCAGCACCCATGGTGGCAACACTCAAGAAATTGAAAGGTGTTACATTAGGGAAATCTGCTCTCAAGGACCTTGGGACAGTGCCAAAGAGCAAGGATATCAGTTTAAAGACTAAGTTGAACATGATCTGAGCTTAGTACTTTCATTTGCTTCGTGTGTGTGTAAAAATTAGATAAATGACGAAGAAGCCTAAATAATAAGAAATACCTTTTGTGCAAGTGTAGGCAGCATGTGGTGGTCAAGTGTGACCTCTCTTAACCTTACAAATGGGAACAGTCTCTAATACCAATGTGCAAAATACAGAACAAATTCCTCACCTGATTCTACTAATTCCAGCACAAATCCTACTGCTCTACTACTGGTCCTGGAATTTTTTGGAATAGCCACACAAATCTCATTCTGACATTTAGGGGATTTATTAGGGAAGTTAACTTGTTGTAGGTTGGCAGCAGACAGCTTCTTGGTTGTCTTTGCAGGCCCTGTGACCTTCAACCTCACAGTTTAGGTGAATGTTACAGAATTCTCTTTGCCCTTCCTATTATGGTGTCTTCCTTCAGTCCTCCAGCAAGCTTAGGTGAAGGCCCCTGGCTCTGACTTCTTGGGACAGCAGTCTCAGGTCAGCTCTATCTCCTGTCACTCTCTGGTTCTCTGTTGAGGCAGCTGCTGCTACTTTTCTGTATATCCTGGTCTGACTCTGGTCTGACTCCTGGTAGTGAGATTTCCCATCTTTGCTGCTAAATGTGCTCTATTTTAACTTGGTGGGTTGAGACAAACAGACCAGTTCTATAATGGTGACACCGTGTTTCAAGTTCCTGCCCAATCATCTGGTGAAAGTCAAAGTCTGTGGCTAAGAAAGAGATTTTGTACAATAAAACCATGACACCACGCCTTTGAATTGTAGTTTTTACAAGGAGAATTGAATATACATACCATGGACTGCCAGGTGAACAAACAGATCTATGGAAATGCCTACAGGGCAAGGATGATGACACGTGATCTCATGTGTTTTGTGCATAATGCTGCTAGTCATTAGAATGAGGTAACACTGGGAAAAGTAGAGAGAGGGTCAGCAAAAGAGAAGAAGAGCTTGAGGGAGATGAATTGATAGAGTGACTCAACTGTGGATGAGTGTGGAGCAGATGATCTGTTTGTGCTGCTATGAGTCGTAATCAAAACAGCATATATTCTATATACAGCATTTACTGCTATTTCTAACATTGTCTAATAATATATTACACATGGCGTTTGGTAAATAATTTTAAAATTTTGTAAAAATTCACAGTATCTCTTGGGAGTTTGCATAATACATATTTAATGAAAATTTTATTTAACCCCGTACTTATACCTTAATTTAGTGCATGTTTTTTTAAATTTAGATTATAAGTACACATCATTAAAAACAAAAATTTTCAGCAATTTTAAAATGCCCGTTTGAGGAGTTGAGAGTTTCTTCTTTAAAAAAATTAAAGATGTATTAAGACTTTTTAAAAGTTAAAATACAAATTTTCCTCTTCACCATCAGGGAGGTATTTATTCGTCTGCAGCATGAAAACAAGATGCTCCGCTTACAACAGGAAGGGACTGAGAATGAACGAATTGAAGAACTTCAAGAGCAGCTGGAACAGAAGCACCGGAAAATGAATGAATTGGAAACCGATCAAAGGTGATAAGGCTTCTTCATATCCTAACACCTGGGTGATTTTATTGCCTTTTTTTTTATCTTGATTCCCTGAACTAGGAAATAGTTTTCTTAAAAATTGAAACAGAAAAAAGAAAAGTTAATTTCTACTTAGTAATATAGAACTGTAGAGAAATAGAACGAGATTTCTAATCTTTTATAGGTAAGTAACTTTTCTTAATATGAACATAACATGTTTTAGGGTAAAAGTAAATTTTTGTAGAAGTATTTGCAAGTAGCATATTTTACATATTATACCTATCTTACCATTTTTATTGCTGTTAAATATTTTATGTGCTCAGTTACTCAAATATACCTTTAAATTATAGCCCTTTAATTACTTTCACTTTTAATACAAATAAATATATCTGACTCATCTTACAATAGGCTGAGTCAAGAGCGCATTCGAGAATTGCAGCAGCAGATTGAGGACCTCCAGAAATCTTTACAGGAGCAAGGTACCAAGTCTGAAGGTGAAAGTGTAAGTAACTTAGAAATAATGATAATTCATTATGTATAGACACTCCTCAACAGCAGATCCTGATGCTCAAATGAGTCCAGTATTTGAATGCACTGACCTTATTGGCGGCATCATTAAATACCATATAAATCTACATAACAGAGGCAGTGTTTGCCGTCTTGAAGCCTATAAAGTGGTAACATATATCCTGGTGGCCTAGTGGTAAGGAGTTGAGCCGCCAGCCTAAAGGTTCATGGTTCAATCCACCAACTGTTTCATAACAAAAAGATGGATAGCCTTTTTCCTTGCAATTTACTGTCTGTGAAAACCCATCGGGTGATTAACTGTGGGTCTGTTCCAACTCAAGGATATATAACAACAGTAATTCCTCTCCACTGTTTCATGGTAATTGCATGGTAATTTCTGATTGAGAACGTGTTACAAGTGAGGCCTTTATAATTCCGCTTGAGGTCCAACAGTGCTGACCTGAGGAAAAACCAAAATGGGTTTTATCAGCAATCACAATTGAGAAAAATATCCATAGGAAATTAGAGACTGACATAATTAGTTTCGCCGAAAGAATATTTAAAGTGTCACTTTTCTTTCCTTCTTCCTCACACACTGACTCGTGTCTTGCCATTTTTTGAGGCCAGACATAACAGGAACTTACAGGACCTCAAATTTGGCCTAACACTGAAAATACCAAGCAATTTTTTTTTCAATTTTTTTTAGAGTCTCCATATGTGTAGGAAAAAGGGGATAAGGATATTTCTTTTTTATAAATTTCATTGAAAACAACAGCTAAAATCGAAGGGCTAATTGTGTGTGTTAGATAATGATTAAAATTAGAAAAATTAGGTGATTATACCTGTGTTGATGGAGAAGGAAACCATGCAGAATAAGTGAAGGAATAAAAAGAGATTAGAAGGGTAGCAGCATTTCCTTTCTGTATTTTTTAGTCTATATATGATTTTTCCTTTTTGCCTTGGGGGCTTCAAAAATAGAAATCATCTTATGCATGGCATCCTCTCATATGTGCATATATTCGGTATTGTAAACTCTCTAAAAGAAATATTTTTAAGCCATACATGGGAATACTTTTAAAATTTAATCCATTTGGGGAACTAAATTTTGAACTAAAATACATAGCAGGGTTTAGGGCTCTTGTACATAGGGTCGCTATGAGTTGCAGGTGACTCGACAGCACATAACAACAATAACAACAAATCATCCTTCTGTTTTTACAATAATGGATGTATGCAGTATTTGTCCTTATGAGACTGAGTTCTCTCAGCATAATGATCTTCAGTGTCTCCCAAGTTATGTAGTATTTTTTGAAATTGTTGCTCCTACATGTTCCGTAGTATTCCATTGTGTGAATGTACCACAGCTTTTTAATCCATTCAGTTGTGGTTGGACATATGGGCTGTATCTGTGTTCTTGCAATGGTGAATAATGCTCCCTATGAACATTGTTTTACAGATCTCTGTGTCTCAGTTCTGATTTTGGGGGCTTAAAACTAGTAAAATATGTATTGAGACCCAAGGGTGGAAGGGAATAGAGGTGTGAAAATGGGTAGAAGCGAAAGCACAGAGTGCTTTACAGTGGTGGGTGGAGGGAAATGGTTGAAGGAAATGGGAAGGATCCAGTGAGGACCTGAAAAGACGGGTTAACAATGAGCAAAGTCCAGTGGTGATTGATTGTATAAAATGCAATGCATGAGAATGAGTGTGTGAAACAGTATGAATGAAGAACAATGTGAAACACAATGTTTATGAACTTTGTGAGCATACCAGTTTAAAATTTTTTTTTAAAAAAGTGTTCAAATTGTATTTCAGATTACATATATTAAAACTTTGAGCAATTTGGTAAATGCAGAACTGCTATTGTAATTTAAATAGCTTTTGAAGGGAAAATTTTATTTCTATTTTTTTAAAGAAAATCTAGTTGCTTCATTAACAGTATTGTTTACTTTTATAATAATATAAAATTGGTAATTACATTAAAATGTTTGAATTTATAATGTAAATTTTTTGAAATAATTAATTCAGTCCTTTGCTTATTCTTTGTTATAAGTTTAAAACCATAAAAATCTATATTTTAAATAAATAATTCCCTAGGTGTCTAAATATTCGATACTCCTAAGTATATCACATTCAGCTCTTAATTGCTATTTCATACACTTTAAAATAAATTGGAAATATAAGGATTTGTTTTCCTATTTTTCTGTTTCATTCTCTTTTTTTGCTTTGAAGTTTTACAACCTTCAATGTCAGGTTTTCCTAAGTATTTTTTTAGTAGTAAAATACTCTTAAATATTTGTATTAACAGTACACTTCCAAAAGGAGATTCGAAGTTTTTGATATCTAGTAAACCTTACCAAGATAAACTTTTATAGCATCTTTTCTTTAATTTTATAGTCCAGCAAATTAAAGAAGAAGTTGGAAGCACATATGTAAGTAAAGCTGATGTTTCACTTCTAGAACTAATAATCCTTTTCTGATTTTGTGTAGTCAAGGAAGTATCTTAATACTAAATTGAATGATAATCACTGCCAAAAACAGAAGATAAAAAACTCTGCTAAAAGACTTAGTCTATTCTCAATAATCCCAAACTCCACCATTTTTCTGCATTTTAAAAGGCATATAGCTATCACAGTTAGATTATGTAAAAATATGGAGTGTTAATATTAAGAAATATTTCCATTTACTTTCTTGGAAATGAGAATGACAAGGGAAAATAACCTTAAAATTTTTAGCAGCACCAGTATGCTAGGTAGTTTACATCCTCACATCACCTTTTAGAGCTTAGGTGTCATTTCCATTTCACAGGTAAGAGACTAAAGGTCCACAACTGATGTGTTACATAGAGCTTTCATTCTTAGATCTGTTTGACTCCAAAGCCCCATGCTTTTTCCACTACTTTAGGGAAAAGCTAACAGAGGTCCATGAAGAATTACAGAAGAAACAAGAGCTCATTGAAGATCTTCAGCCAGATGTAAACCAGAATGGTACGTAATCATAAGAATATGAATCAGATGATATGTAAGAACTTACTACATTTAGTGGAAAGATTCAAGACTTTATATATAAAGTCTTTGAATACACAGTTATAGAAATTGAAAATAACTATTATAATTTTAAATGTTGTTATTTAGGAATCTTGAAACAAAAAATAGAAATTTGATAAAGTGAACACATTGATAGGAATATGAAACACTTCAGAATGTAATAGAACTCATAATAGGAAAACATAAATAATTAATGATTTCATATTAGATAACCCTCAGCTTCAAAATAGCGTGTAAAGGTGCAGCCTGTTTGGTTAGCAACATCACATGTTATGGAGACTGTGCCACCTAAGACTGTCATAATAATGCATCAGATAATACACAGAACTATAAAACAAACATCAACATCTAGAAAGAGTGAGCTTTCTTAAAACAGTCAACTCTACAAGTCCAAAAGTTCAAGATTGGCTCAAAACTAAAAATGAAAAAAGAGGGAAACCATCTGAATGAAGGTAGAAAATCCAGGGAAGAAATCAGGAAATATTGACACATTGTGGGCTACACTGAGTGCATCAAACAGTTTGTGTATAAACTATTGATTAGAAAACCAATTTCTTAAATAAGCTTTCACCTAAAACACAGAATGTTTGTAAGAAAAAATATGTAGAAGTAATGCTTTAGTTTTCTTACTGTGATTGTGCACACTTTGTACTATTTATTTGCTCATTGATGTATTAAAAAGGAGAAAAAGAGCTAAATAAATAAGTAATGTATTGATTGTAGTTAAAAAGATCTAGATGAAGGATGAAGAAGTGGAAATTTTTTTAAGTTCCCTTGCTAGTCTCTCAAAAAATAATTATTACTAGTACAGTGTTTTGTGTGAGGATAAAGTATCTTGAAAAAGAAGTCATTAGTAATGTCTTATTTCATTCTCATTAATAGTACAAAAGATCAGTGAGCTTGAAGCTGCTCTTCAGAAGAAAGATGAAGATATGAAAGCCATGGAGGAAAGATATAAAATGTATTTGGAGAAAGCAAGAAATGTGAGTAGTTTAGCTTTCAGAATGCAAGTCTTTATGACTCATGTTCTGCAATTCACTTTGTTTGCTGCCGTTTCTGCCACTGAGTCAGGATGCTTTACTTCCCCCCCCCCATCAAAATGTATTTTATAATAGAAAAGCTCATAAGAGGTAACTAAAATCCAACAATGTTGTCCAAACATTTAAATCAATCTTCACGGTGAGTACCCAGTTGTGCAACCTAAAATAGTGTAGGCCCTTTTCCCATTCACCATCCACATCCTATTAAATTTATGTCTCTAAACCTCTGCATAATACAAAAATATTCTCAAAATAAGGAGGATACATGCAATTTTTACATTAAATCAGTGCATTATAAAGATAATTAGCTGGTATAATCTTTCAAAAAATTAGGAAGTAACTTTTTTTTTGGTTGATAACAAATACCATGTGGGACAATCCCAGACCATCTAGCTCATTCCCGTAACATCAGTGAAAAGTGATTCAAACTCTAAAGCATGATATTTGGAACACCTTATCTCGTTAAATTAAGAGTAAAGGAGTCATTCTTTATGCACAAAAGAAATGATCTGGATATATTTTGGATAAATTTTGCTTTTCTTAGCTGCTTTACTTTTGATTTCCTCTCCTTGCTTTTCAGGTTCCTGGTGTGTCTTCACATTGGCCCTCACACTTTCTCAGTCTAACTTATCAGCATCAAATAAAACAGTGTGACTCTTAGGAACCGTATACACATTGACCATATTACTTTACTTAAGAAAAATCACTAGATAATATATGGCAACTAGCTCTTAAAATTAATATTTTGCCTTTCATGAAAATTGAGTTTTTAAAGCTTTTTTATACTTAGTCTAGATGACATAATTAAACATTATTTAGCCAAATCTTTACTTAATAAAATTCTTTTTCTGTATTTCACTGTCTATAAGTATTATTCTCAAAAATCTTTCATTTTGATGAATTACTATATGTATTTTGTAATTATTATTTTATCTTAGAGAATGCTAATGTGCTATTTACTGAATAAAACAAATTTTATGTGAGAGTTTTAAATATTTTTTCCCTTTAAACAGGTAATAAAAACTTTAGATCCCAAATTAAATCCGGCATCAGCTGAAATAATGCTACTTAGAAAACAATTGTCAGAGAAAGAAAGACGTATTGAGATTCTAGAGGTAAAATTTCCATTTTTGCTGATTTTTTTATTATTCTGCATAATCTTATTCTATTTACCATTGTCAACTCTCATAGGAAGTTGGAAATGGATTTTGGCTCTTGGTATGTTTATTATAAAAGATTGTCATCATCTCCCAGTCCTGGTCTCTGTAGAGTTTATGTACTCTGTTTATATGTTGCATTGTATCACTTTCCCTCTTTAACATCCAATGACATAGATATATATAATTTTCTGGTAGAGTATTCCTCTAAGCCCTTTATTATGATGATGATGATGATGATGATGATGATGATGATGATTCTAGTTTATTTACAAAATTCAAAGACATTGTTTTCACACCAGATTTCTTCCAATTTCCCTCACACCCAACAATCCCATAATTAATCCCCCAACCCCCCTTACATCCTCATCCCTCTGCTTCCACCTTCCACCCCTCTTGGATCCTCATACTCATTCTACAATAATGTTTGTATACAGTATTTGTTCTTGTGGGACTGAGTTAGTTCACTCAGCATAATGCTCTCCACTCCCTCCCAAGTTGGGTAATAATTTACAAAATACTAAGTATTGTTGTATTCCATTGTATGAATGTACCATAATTTCCCAATCCATTTGATTGTGGTTGAACGTCTGGGCTGTTTCCATGTTCTTGGGATGATGGGTAACACTGCTAAGAACATTTTTAAAAATTCTGCTAAGATTTCATTCATAAATTATTCTTACCTTTTAAAAATGGTGCCATGTTAAACCAGCTTCATCTTTGTCTTCCTGAGCTAATGTTATGTAATCCACTGTCTAATGAGGAGAAAATGGGCCAGAAGGGCACACAAAGCCATGAACATCTCTCTGAAAGGGCCAGAAGGAGTAAGAATAGCCCAGCTCCTCACTACCCCAAAGCAGAAAGCAGATAAAGAGCCCATAGCCCTGCCTCATGGTGCCTGTAGAAGCCCAGCAGCAGCAAGAGGTTAATTTATTTGTTGCTGACTCACAGATTTCACAGTTATGGTACCAACAGTGGGGTTTATTACAGATGGAAGTAAGTGGAGGAGGCATAGAATATCTCACAATGGGGTTTATTAGGGAAGTGAGTGTAGGAAGCATAGAATATCTCACAATACAAGTCCAGGCTTTTAGCCCAGCAGTTCCAAGGCACAATTCCTCAATAAGTCCAGTCTCTGGTTTCAGTTCAGCAGTCAAATCCAAGTCATTCAGCAAGGTTTGCCCTAGAGGAGTTAAAAGTCAGCTTCTCCTTCAAACATCTGGCAAGATGTCTGACATACAGCCAAACAGTAACTGTGGCCCACCCAAATGCAGGTCACAGTCTCTCCACCACCTGAGACTCGCTTTCACCAGGATCTTACTGCCACAAGTTTTGCTTGCCTCAAGCCTTGCTGCCCAGTGTAGTAAGCACTCATCTATCCTCCTAGCCCACACCTGCTGATGATTTGCAAGCCCATGTATCTGACATTAAGGTAGCTGGAGACCAGAGCCTAAATGGCTAAAAAAGACAAATTTTAGGCTACCACCACACCACCAAATTGAAAAATTAGGTCTGTTAGAGTAGTTAGCTTTGCTTGCAGAAATTGAGGAGAAGTGAAACACCTGGTGCAGAAAATTAAACACTGTCGCCTTCAGTATGGATTGCATCTCAAATTCAACAAAACAAAAATTCCCACTACTGGACCTATAGGCAACATTGATAGTTGGAGAAAAGATTCAAACTATCACCAACTTCATATTACTTGGATCCATAATCAATACACTTAGTACTATCAATCAGAAAATCAGGAGAAAGTCTGGAAAAGTCTCCAAAGTTAGGGACTTTGGAGTCAGGGACCTGTCCAGATTATTAAGGAGCAGTGATATGAGTTTGAGGACTAAGGTGCACCTGATTCCGACCATAGTCTTTTGAATCACTTGCTTTATATTTGAGAGCTGAACAATAAATAAGGATGATAGAATAAGTGATGCCTTTGAGCTGTAGTGTTGGAGGAGAGTGCAGAATATCCCATGGACTACCAAAAGAAAAGAAAAAAAACACACAGGTATTTCTTGGAGAAGATGAAGCCAGATTGCTCCCCAGAAGCAAGGATGGTGAAGCTTCGTCTCACATTAGGCATGTTGCAAGGAGAGGCTGTTCTTTGGAGAAATAAATCATGGTTGGAAAGGTGGAAGGGCGACAAATGAAAGGAAGACCCTCACGCAAACGGTGGATTTCCAGTGACTGCCGCAATGGGCTCAAGTGTGTCAGAGATTGTGAGGTTGTCAGAGGATAGGATAGGGTTCAGATCTGTTGTCCATAGAGTCACTATGAGTTGTGCTTGACTAACAAGAGTAATTAAAAATATGTCAGACTGTAGGATGACAACTCTTGCCACAAGGGACCTTTAATACAGGCCACCATGACTTGAGAAATGGAAAATTGGCGTCTAGTTATATAGGGATTTTAAAACAATTTTTCTCGTTATTTTTTACTGTTTATAAATGCAGATCCACCGTTTTGTTACCTTAGCTAGTTGTCACTTTATACTATACCCAAAGGAGGCAGAAGGAAGATAACTTTATTCTGCCAGTCCTAGATTCTGGTTTTTCCTAATAGTCTTTTTAGGTAACATTTCTTCACTATCCCTTTACATTTTGACTATTTTTGAGTCTCACATATTTCTTCTTCAAAGTTTCTCAATAATGAGTATATTGAAGAAATTCTTTTTTTTAAATTTTATTTTAAATTTTAATGAACATTTACATAGATTTTGCATTTCCATTCATTCATTGTTGCACTTTTCTCCCTGCCCACCCCTCCCCCCAATTCGCTTGTCTCTTTGAAAAGTAAAAGGAAAATTCTTTAATTGGTATACAATCCCCACACACACCTCCATCCCGAGAAATTATTTATTATTTGTAATGCTTGAAGTGGTTTCTGTAATTTTTAACAATTCTCTTTTCCAGAGTGAATGTAAAGTAGCAAAATTCCGTGACTATGAAGAAAAACTCATTGTATCTGCCTGGTATAATAAGGTGTGTTGAAATTCATCTAATGATGAAGAGATCTTGAATAATGATAAAGATTTCTAGAATAGTCTTTTTTGAACTTTTTGACTAAGAGTCAGGACTGCATCTTTTTTATCATCAATAAGTATGCATGAAGGTTTATGTATAAGAGTTACTGGATTGCATGCTTTGTGCACAGATATTTTCTGTTGTATTTTTCTATATTTTTAAATGTTGCTTATAACAAAGGAGTTGATTTTATGTTTTAGGAATATGTGCCCATCTTTAGTTGAATCATATTTAGCTCGTGATGTATAAGTGTAAAAGTTAATCTTCTTTTAAGTTATTTACTTGAACTAAAACATTTAAATTTCAGTCCAGAAAATGTTTCTGAAATGGGAGGGAGGAAGAATTCCAGAAATACTGATAACTGTGTAATACAAAATCAAACAGAGCTTATACTTAAAATTTATTTTCAAATTCTTTAAGGTACTTCACTGTGTCTTTTACTGTGTATATCTTTTTAATCAGTAGAATATACATCAGTATTGTCTGATAATATAAAATATAAAATAATATGAAATACTACTTAAGTTATTACTTATTTAGTGTTTCAAATCTGTCACTTTACAGACTATGCACACTAGTTTAGCTACATAGAATTAGTTGTCCTTCCTTAAACATACATTAGTTATTAAAATCTAAGATTGGAAACTGTATATTAATGTCTTTGTTCCTCAGTGATCTTTAGATATGCAAATCAGTGAAAATAATAGACTATTATTTCATCCATTTTTCAGCATAGGTTTGTCTATGTTCTAAATACTGGACTAGTTCTACAGAACTGATTCACTTCTCAATCCTCCTTTTTTTCCTATAGTAATAAGGATCTCTCCAGCCTTATAGTATTGTTTTGAGAAATAAATGACTGTGTACGTGAAAATCACTTTGCAAACTAGATAGTGTGTAGGACTATTTAGCCATATTATTACCTGTTTTTATTTTTCCAGAGTCTGGCATTCCAGAAATTGGGAATGGAATCTCGACTGGTGAGCAGCAGTGGTACTTGTAAAGACCCCAGTGCCTTTACGCCTGCACGTTCGTTCCTAGCACAGCAACGGCAGATCACCAACTCCAGACGAAATGTCTCTGTTAAAGTTCCTGCTGCAACATCTGATTAAACTGCTAGGGAAAACATAAACAGAAGTGCCCTTAAAAACTTTATACCTTTCTACTGACTTCCATGCTGTAAAGATAATAATGCTAAATGTCAGCTTCTTTCAAGTCAAAATTCATCAAACTAATTTCACTACCCAATTTTGAAAACAAAGTGAGAATTAGCTATCTCTTTTGGGAGAGCACATTTGAATAACTAGAAGATGTAAATAGGCACACGCCTTGAACATATTTGTCTTTTGAGAGTATTATACTTACATGTTAATTCTGTGAATTTTAATCTTTTTGTTCTAGTAATTTGGTTAATTTGTGGTATGTAATTAATAATCTATAATTTTAAAACGTTTTTATTATTTTGATCTTGAGGTAGGTGTGTAGAGAGAGCTGTACAAAGGTGGTTTCTCTGACTTGGTTTATTCAAGTTTCCTGTCCTGCTAATTCTGTCATTGAATAAATAACTTTTAATCATGTCATTGAAGATAGAACTTTTGGAAGACAACTGTTGAAATTATGTTAATCATAGTAAAAGTGATAATTGGAAAGTTAGATTATTCCGAAAAGCTCTCAGTTCTCTTATGTATGTAATAACATATAAGGGCTTAGGGCTTATCTACAGCTTGCTTGAAATGCTTCAACATTTCAACCTAGAATGTGGAAGTAATCTTGGTTTTTCTGAGAGATCTCAAGATAAAAAAATATAATTTGTGTGAAATGTCTAAATACTATTTAATGTTTTAATAAGTAATTTCAGTAAAAGCTTTTAAGCATTACAAATTATCAGAGTTTCTGCTAAAAGGAAAGACAAATCCTGGTATGATCAGTCTTCATTAAATACAGATAATATAGTGATGAAAGACTTGGAATCAAGTCTTTTGTTTACTAAAGTCTGTCTTGAGCTGAATTTGATGTGTTCATTTAGTTCCTGCTAAATGCTCTTGTTTGCAAAAGTATTACACTAATTTATTTTGGTCATCATTTTAACTTTGAAATGCCAATTACTCTAAATTGGTACTGTTCAAAACTATAACTGTTACTGTTCAGAGATATAACTGTCAAAGCACCCAATCAATTTAAATGATAAATTTAAATTTTTGTTACTTACATAAGTACATTTCAGACTCTCAATAGTTACATTTCCAAAGACTGAATAGCCACATACAGTCACAACTGTATTTGACAGGGCAGATAGAGAACATATTTATCACTGTGTAATCTTCTACTGGACAGTACTGCACTTCCTCTTAAAATAACTTAAAAATAGTTTTTAGTATTGACAGAAAAATTAAAACAAAGGAAAATGTTATGATACTTTCAGATAGAAAATGTGTTTGTGATCTAACTAGCACTCCCCATCACCTACAGCTGAGTAGCTTACATAGTGATGGCCACACTAGGTCTTTGTAACACTGACCAGCAACTTCATACCTAATTGGAAGAGTATGTCTAGACCAGGGGTCAGCAGACTTTCTAGAAAGGCAAGACACTAAATGATTTCAGGTTTTGTATGCCATATAATCTGTTGCAGACCAATTGGACATTATACTGTGAGGCAGATACAGATAATATGTAAACATATGAGTATATGTAAACATGTCTAATAAAACTTGAGAAAGAAAAGCACATGGCTTGCCAGATTTAGCCTAGTCTAGACATTTCTTCTTAACCTTTCAAAAAAATGAGTATTGCACCTTCATAGTATTATTTAGACAGTCTAAAATTTATTGGGATAGAATCCAATACTTTTTTAACTTACTAAAAATAATTGCACACAGCGTTTAAATCTCTGAAATTTGATTACATCTGACAGCATATTTTGGTTAGCAGGATTGCTTCTGTCGACTACCTCTTAGATTTCGATGTGTTTTATCAGTATAATTATATTGTTTGTGTTTTCATGTGTTTTAGTTACATGAAATTATTTTAAAAATATTTTAGCATGCTAATTAAAATTTTTTAAATATTAGTGGAATTTCAGTATATTTTGGTCAACAAAAATATCCCATTGGTATTTACCACTTTTAGTTAACTTGAGATTTTACAAGCTCTTCAACCTCATTTCTAATGGAACTTAATACAAAAAACATCAATTTGAATAGTATTTTCACAGTTGCTTGCAACAAATTTTTTATTATTGTAATTGGAGTTTCTAAATAACTCATGCAAATTCTGAATAAGAACCTGATGCTAGATTCTATTCTCAGTAGAGAAAAAAATGGATTTTCTGATTTATCACTTTTCTAGTTGATAAGTAGAATTCAAGATGTTTGATACACTATTTGTATAAGAGTAATGTAATTTAAAGTTGTGTACTATTGTGATTAATTATACAGAAATTCAGGAACTGATCAGAAGTGAGATTCTTTTCCACATCTGGTTAATGTAGTGAGATTGACACCCTGTGGGTGGTAAAGCATTATAAATATTTCATCATGAACCATGATTTATATGAATCTTTGTTGTGAGGGTTCAATGCATATAATGTGGAAGAAATATTCAGTGATTATCTAACTGATAAGGAACTGACTAGTTAGTTCAGTGATTATAACATGAAACCACAGACACATTTGGAAATTATCTTTTCTTTTGAGCGTTAGCTCTAAGATTTATATTCATTTCTCTCTTTTTTAACATAAAGTTGTACATACATATGAAAGTGATAATTTATTCTGAGATTCGGTAACCATACTGAGAAATATTTGAGGTTGATTCTATTTTTCCAATAATTATGTCTGTCCAACTAATGATTTAGTGTAGATTAACAGACAGTGTTCTGTATCTAGGCACACACATTAAATGAGTATCCCACATTAAGATGGTAACTTGATTGGTAATTTGAATATTAGATAATATTTCTACATCTGTATATATTTGTTTTGTCTACCCTGTGGCATGTCTTTAGGACCACAATACAGTCTGTGTTTGATTCTTTATAGATACGTTTAATGAGAGACATTTCTCCATAAAAATGTGTATATACGGGTTATATGCATACATTCCTGTTGTGAAATTGTGCATTGAAAGTAGGTTGGAAATTTGTAAAGCACAATCATAAAAGAAAATAGTTTATGTTATTAAACTTGAGTTTATATGTAATGTTTGATTTATAAAAAGTCCTTTCTATTTTCTATGGCAAAGACTTTGACACTTGAAAAATAGAAGCAATACTTGATTTATTTTTGTAAGTATTTAGCATATTATTTTAAATATATAATTGTCCAATATCAATATAATAGTTGTTAAGTGTTTCCAGTAAAGAAACTTTCTGCTTCTGTGATCTGATGGTATGATGGGTTTTTAGTGAATACAAATGTATGTTATATACTGCTTTAAATAAAAGACTTAAATATTTGTATTGATAAAGAAAAAGGAGCATTGTATTAATTCTTCTAATTTGGTTTTTCTTTTGAAAATTTTCTAGCAATGAAAATAGTATAGAGGTGATTTTCCTCCCTAGTTCCAATTTCACCACTGAAAAGGAGACATTCGGTTAATATAGATTGTCTAGTTTTCAGTGGTAAAATGAAACTCAGCATTTTTCTTTGTTAGAGCTGCTTATCATCCAGTCTTCTCTTCACTGAATAAGGTTGTTGTTGTTAGGTGCCGTTGAGTCAACCATGACTCATAGTCACCCTGTAAACAACAGATCTGAGCCTTGCCCTATCCTGTACCATCCTTACAATATTTGATAAGCTCAAACCCATTATTAAGTTCATTAGGTCAATCCAGCTTGTTAAGGGTCTTCCTCTCTCTGACCTTTCTCAGCATCATGGGGTTTTTCCCCCAAAGATATCATACTGCTTTTTCCATTGAGTAATGTTATGTGCCACTGAGTCACCTATGACCCATAGCAACCCTGTGGCTCTGAACCTTTCCCTATCCTGGGCCAGTCTTATTATCTCTGACACGCCTGACCCCACTGCCACAGTCACTGTGTCAGTCCATCTCATCCAGGGTCGTCCTCTTCTGTGCTGACCCTCTGCTCTTCAAGCATGGTTTCCTCCAAGGGCTAGCCTCTCCTAGTGACATGTGCAAAGTCTGTGAGACAGAGCTTCAAAATCCTTACCTCCAAGGAGCAAAGTGCTTCCACCCTCTCCAAGACAGCCCTGTTTGTTCTCTTGGCAGTCCATCATTTGTTCAGTACTCTTTTTCTAGCACCACAACTCAAAGGCATCAATTCTTCTGTGGTCTTTATTCATTGTCCAGTTCATAGATGCATACCAAGGGATTGAGAAGACCATGGCCTGGATCAGGTACACCTTAGTCCCTAGACTGACATAGTTGCTCTTTAGCACTCTGGAGAGGTCTTTGACAGCAGATTTTTTTTTTGACAGATTTTACCAATACAACTCATCTTTTGATTTCCTGACTGCTAGCACCAAGATAGGAGTGACTGGAGCCTGAGCTATGATACTAGAGGTTAGTTAGAGGCCTCAGGGTGGGTGAGGGAGTAGGGGGGCGGAAGGATGGAAAAGCAATGCCGAATTGCCAGATATCTCTGAGTTTTTAATTGGGGAAATGTCTTACATATTGCTTTTCTAAATATTTGTTGGTATGTTTATCATTTGCTCTTTGGTGTATAGTGCTTGTCTGTCAGATGCTGTCATAAAGTGAAACTCTTAAGACAGACTAGGAAGAAGGATTGGCAATCACTTCTGAAATAACAGGGCTTTGAAAACCCTTTTGAGTAATAGAACACTAAAGTTTGCTTACTATATTTCTATTCAGTGGAAAAAAACCTGAAACAGTAGGAATTTGTAAAAGAATAAAGGCAAAAAGAAAAAAAGAATAAAGGCATGTATTTCCCACACTCTTAATATGAGTGGCCACTTGACCAAGTCTTGGTCAGCGGGATTGCGTAATGGTAATATGTGCTTATTGAAAGATCTGGTGAGCTTTTATGCTTCCTGCAGCCCAGACAAGTATGGCTGAAGGCAACACACGCAAGTGCAGTGAGTTTCTGAAATAATGTAGTCAAATAATCTGCCCAAAGTGTTCTTGTTTAACCTAACT